AAATTAATTATCTCTGCTTTCAACTGAAAGTAAAAAAAAAACAAAACATATTAGGATTTGCATATGTTTCTTTCCTCAAAGCATATCCTCTTCTATAAATTTAAATCCTAGACTTAGAATTGGTAACGTTGTTCGTATACATCAGCCAAAAGTGTTTAAAATGTACACAGAAAATTTAGAAAAACAAAAGGTCACCTCCACAAAGGAATAACCAAATACCTTTTTAGGTGATTAAATACCACTGAGGTCAGAGGCTTGGGCATTGAACTTTTTTTGTAAATCTGGGTTATAGATTGGTTTAGGCTAGTCGTGTTGTTAAACTTGACTGTTGCACGGTAGCCACTAAATTTTAGGAGAAAATAACTGATACCATAGCTTACACTGAAGTCTTTATTTATAGTAAATTCAGATAAAGCTTTCCAATGTTTTTTTTTTTTTTTTTTTTTTTTTTTAATAAGTCATTAAGGGTTAATTCACAGGTAGGCTTAGGGAACAGGGGGGCACAGTAAGCCAAGAGATTTTACTGTTGGCAGTGACATCTGTATCAGAAACTCTAATACTGCTTGGTAGCCAGTTTGAAGATCTGGGTGAACCACGTTAGAGGAAAGGTTAAAGAACATTCAGTTTTTCAGTGTAAGGAAATAACTACTCCAATTACTGCATTCCTGTGTAACCCCCCTTGCAGAAAACTTGTAGGCAGTTGTATTGAGCTGTTTAAAGCCTTGGGGACATCTTAGCTTCAAGTGAATCATGGTTTAGGAAAAATGTTGTGAAAAGAATGACTGAGCAAAACAAGGATGACAAAAGACATGCTTTACTGCTATGCCTCCATTATTTGGAGGCAGAAGTCTTGTCTGTCAAATAGGACATATTGTTTATAACATGGAGAACATAATATGAACTTCTTATTTTACAGAAGACACAAAAGGCAAACTCTCCCCCACAATGCCTACAATCTAAAGTCTTAATCAAGCTTCCCCACTTTTAGAAGTGGATTAAATTTAAACTTGAAACTACCTCACACCATCCTTTCATAGGACAAATCCTTTGACTTCCCCTTTGCCCACCCCACTCACCCAACTTTTCTGCAAAATTTCAGAGCCCGTGAGAAGGTGATGACACCCTCTCTTTACTCAGGAAAACAGTGCAGTAGTCTGAGTAAAAGCCTCTGCCAATGGGCTCTAATTCTGTCCTAAAGGAATCATAAAACACAGTAATGGCAATACTGGCTCAGTGATTAAATTCACAGCATCAGCAGCCATAAGAAATAGATCAAGACCTCCAAGCGTATTTGGCATTTACCAAGAAAAGCCACTCTTAATTGCTATTCATTCATGTTGCATTTGAGACAGTGATCTAAAGATTTAAGGAACATAAAAATTATACTTTGCTTTGCTGCCACAATATTTTGGCATTTGAAATGCTGACTGTCTTGATTTAAATGTCACCTGCAATGTGGGTCAAGTGTGAACAAAAGGTACATCTAGGAACTACTTTATGACTTGCGTGCCTCTACTCCTGATATTGCCTGTTGGCAGAAGATGAAAAGCTGAGCTCCCAAAGGTATTACGAGTAGCCATTTGTCTGGAAAAGGAGATTAACCTCCACCCTTATTCTTCTTGTTCCTCTAAATTCATTTAAAAAATTGTAACAATTCAATCCGAATTAATCAGCGAAGCAGAAAACAAATGCCATCAACTTCAAGTGAGGTTATACAGCAAAGACCTACTTTGAGACTCTCTAGGGAAATGGAACATTTCACTAGTCCTTCCTAATGCATTGTTTAACAGCATTTTTAAACTTTTCTTCTCAAAATAGGCTTCTGTATACCATGAGGCACTGACTAGGAAGAGTGGTCCAACTTTCATGCCAGCTGAGAAAGGGAAGCTGCAAGAGCTCTGAACACAAACTGGCTACACATCCAAAAGCTGAAATGCAGTAACTACCAAAATCTTTAACGGAAATGAAAAGTGTTGTGGGCTGCTTGAATCCTCCTATCTTTTGTAAAAGATATCACAAGCCCATACCTTCAACAACACACTGTAATATCTGATGCTAGCTGGAAATCTGAAATGAAAAACCTATTAACTACATGTTACATCTGTGCAAACCCACTGACTTCAATTTCTTTCATTTTTCTGACTTCTCTGAAGCTGATTGGATAGCACTACAAGCAGAATCGGGTTTATTTTCTTTAAATACTTAAACTCATTTCCATTCTTGCCTCCAAAGCTCCCCAAGGTACAATTTGCTCTGTTAAAAAAAAAATAAAAATAATGAACAAAAAAATCAGCTTTTTTCTTTATTGCTTATTCATGTTTCCCACTTTGCAGTAATTCTGCATGGTAAACAAACAGCCTCTTATGTGCCGGTTTGAGTTTCAATTTTGGCAGTTTTGTAAACTAAAGTTTTACACTCCCACCATAGTTAGGATAACTTCGTTCCCTAATGGATACTTAACACATCTAATTACTCTATTTTTGAGCTGCAAGCGCTGTTGAAAAATGTCTTCATTCTTTCATTCCAGGAGCTTTCCAGCTGCAACATTTTCTACTGAATAAAACATTTTCAGTGACTTTGCCCATAAATAATACAGCACAAAGACCAATGTAGTCTCAATTGTACATAATAAACTCAGAATTCCACTGAGGGTTTTCTCATGACATCATAATAAACTGCAAGAAAAAGCTGAAGAAGTATTAAATTATAGTTTGGGTATATTTTATTCTTTTCTACACATGATACGAAAATTCAGTCATTTGTCATAGTAATTTGAACATTTTTCTGGACTACTTCAAAACTAGAAGGGACATAATTTCAAAGCAGGATGCAAAGGCATAGTTCTTTTTTGTAAGGACAAACTGAATGACTGAATATATCATTATTATTTATTTTGTATGTGTAAATTCTCATGTTGTTTCTTCAGACTCCTTAGTCAAACATAAAGGTTTTTAAATTAAAAAAAAAAAAAACCCAAAAAACAAGTCTCCCCCAAAATATCAAGATCAATGTTGACAAACATTGATGCAGAATATAATTTTACTCCCCTATAAATTGTGAAAGGATTATAAATGGGACTACTGAGTCAAACAGTTGGGTTGTGACAAAATACCCCTGCAGCACTCCATGATCTCAAAGTCTGTTATTCAGATCTCAAAAGAAAATGATAACTCAATTTAACTGGCGATACAACTGTACTGGGGAATGATTTGCTCACATGATTTTAGTCTGTTTTACATGTCTCTGTCTTAGAGTGCTTTGCCCTCTAGTAGATGAAAATGTTGAAGTTGTTAGCCCAAAAAGGAAGGATAACAACCATAGACACGTCACTTCCAATTGGCAATGAATAAGGACTGGTAATGCTTGGAAATTTGGGCCACAGGACACCAACTCTTCTCTCTGCCCACCCCACCCCCAAGGAACAAGGAGAAAGAAAAATGGTTTATGAACTGCAAGAGGACGCTCCTAATGGGGAGAATCAGGAGATAACCATGCACTCAAAGTGAGGGGCTGCTTCTGCTCTTGAGTCTGAGCTTTGGCTTCCAATTGCAAATAAAACTTGGCTGCTATTGCAGATGTTTACTTGCCTACATGCTGTTAAAGCCTGGATTGTTTTTAGTATGTAGAAAAACCTCACCTAGAGGAAAAGTGCCTTAGTGAGACCACAGTGATTGGCTGGCATGCAGTGGTCCCTGAACCTAACCTATGGATTCACAGGAGGTCAAGGCTCCCCCTGCCCAGTCTATAACAGTAACACATTGTTTCAGGGGGGATTTCAAAGAGATTTGGAAAATGGCCGTACTAGAGGCAGCAAGACCTTAGGTGATGATACACAGAAGACAGGGACTTGAATCAACAACTGGAGTGAGAAAACTGAATTTTCCCTGAGGTCAGCATTGAGTCTGACTTGAAGGCCTTACCCTTCTGGAGGAAGAAATACAGCATAATGTACCTCTCTTCTTTAAAGTCACTATCATTTTTTCAAAGAAGGATTTATGGAAAAGGCTAACTTTGTCACTCACAGATTTTCATGGACCTATATCCTCAAGATTAAAAACCTGCTATGGAAAAATAGCTAGCTGCCCCTTGGACTGCTTAGCTAGCTAATGCTTCACTGTATATTCTAGTCTCTGCTTTGAGCCAAGAGGAAGGATTTGAGGGTGGAGGAGGTCACTGGAACAGTGGGAGCAAGGATAACTCTGCATGCAGCTTGCTGAAGGAGAGGAAACTGGAAAACAAAAGGGCAGAGAGACATGGTAGGAGACCTAGAAAGGTTCCTGTGGAATGGAGAGATGAGATGAGCTGGAAAAAAGAACTAGAAGGTGTGACAGAAAAACAGTTTACAATAAAAGGAACAGGAGAAGACAAAGACGTTCATGTTAGGAAGGCACGAAGCAAAAGAACCAACAGACAGAGAAGAGAGAATAATTTGATCTGTTAATGTAGTAAGAGAGCATCTAGGAGCAGAAGGAGCAAACATGACTAATAAGTGAATTTTTCTTGTTTGTTGCTGCTAACACATCTTTGTCTTAGCAAGAAAAGGTGAATTCAGCTTTGAGCTCCCCATACATTGAAGAAGCATTGGGCTCCTCCTGATCAAAGTGTCAAGGGCATAAGTATTGTGGGATGCATCTGAATGGAAGACATAGCTTAAAAACCACACAGCAACAATTTATACTTCCCCATTTCAAATACTGATACACTGGTTATCTCAAACTCAGTTGCTTTTTCCAAAATATATATGTGTGCATACATATGTATGTATATGTGCCACAGAAGACTATCTGCCAGAGACCAATAATTTTGGCCCTAGACAAAGTGTATCCAGGGAGACTAGCAGTCTATGGTATATTGGGTTTTTTTTTAGCTTCCAAACTACTTCTCAGGATGATAAAAATTTCTTCCTTTTCTCACATTTAAGTAGAACATTCATACCCCTCCCTCTACATGTATATATATGTTCACCCTCCTTTCCCTCAATTCATTCTTTATCAACTTACTGGATGGAGTTTTCAATGCGTGTGATGGTGAGGAAAGCTGCTAGGTTTGCCGTGTAGGAGGAGATGACAATCAAAGCAAAAAGCCACCAAGCTCCCATCATCAGTCGGGTTGCCAGGGTTGTGTATGGAACCTCTCCTCCTGTGAGGAAGAAGGAAAAACAAGAGTTTTCATTTGGCAGAAGGAAACCCAGATCCTCATTGCTCATGCATTGCTCAGGAGAACTAGGCCCCAGGGTCAACAGGGTAAAGCAAGATGCATTAGTAAACTGAATGGGACTTGAAGTCACACTTCCTGTGCAATGAAATGTAGTGAAGGAAGCTCACACTGTCAGCCGTCATTACTGTATTTAATCTCTTTCGCTATTGTGCCTTTAATTGCAATTCATCTACCAGTCCTGTCCAGTAAAGGAAATAGACTTCAAGATTTCAGAACAAAACCAGCAAAAGTAAATTCTTACAATGTTCTTTCCTTAGAGATCTTATCTACAAAACTTAATTAAGTTTTTCTTGCATTCTTGAGAATGTAAAGTTAAAAATCCCCATCAAAACACAATTACTTTTCACAGTTCTGTAGGCAGGCAGATGCTTGTGAGGGCCATATGTATGAGTACAAATTGCTGTAAGTGAACTTGGACATGGAAAAAAAAAATCGCATATATTGAATAAGAATACAAAATTGTTTTGTATTCCCATAGTTGCTTTCATTTAAAATCTAAATGCCATGTAAACAAAATGTTAGCAGCAACTAAACTTACCAGGATGAGCTGCACACCACTGCTTGTGTGACCAGAACCCAATTCAGCAAGCCGTTAAAAGCATTATTTTTACTCATATAGCTGCCCCTAAACCACACTAGTTCAGAGGCTTTGAAAGAGCTCTTTCAGTTAAAAGCATACGAATCACAGATTTTTAGATGAAGAAAAATTCACTGTTTTAAAAATAGCCATTTTGTCTGCAGTATGTTTTGTCACAGTTATCAGTAACTAGGGGGGGGGAGGGGGGGGGCAGCAATCATCTGTCTTTACTTATACAAAAACTCCATGTTTCCCCAGCAAGTCAGTTTAAAGGGAATACAAATTACAATTATTCTGAGTACAAATAATTTTCAATTATGTACTCCAACTTTGTTCGAAGTTTGTCCTATCTATACAAAGCACTGGGAAATTTACATCACCATACAATAAACAAATTTGAACTCCTACTTCAGTGATGTGGAGTTGTACCATATGTGAAATAATAACAGGCTCCATTCCTTTATGTTTTTGGTATATAAGTATTGAAATCCTTTGCCTTTTAAGAATTCCAGTTTTGAAAGACCAAATCTGTATTAGGCCTGCACAGTCAGAAATAAATTTCCTTTTATTTCCAAAATGCCATTTAATTATCTGAAATAAGAATCTACTGATCAGCCTGAGAGATGAATATTAACTTCAACATCTGAAGATTTGGTTTTCTCTCCCACATAAATTTTAAATGATTTTTAATAGAATATTTCTACTTTACAACAGTTTTTGCAATGTCTTTGGAATACTTCATTTAAAATGATTTTTAATAAAATGACAGCTATATCAGTTTATTGGAAAAGGTTGTTTGTACTTTTTACTTTCTAGTGCCAATCCCTGCTGATAATATTCATATTGAATTGAAATGGGTAGAGTGATAGAGAAGAAGCCAAGGATCTCCTGGATGTCCTTGCATTTCCATTTTTCAGCTTTATGAGTAAAACTTTAAGTTCTCACATTTTATATTGAAATGAAATGTCAGAAAAGAGAGGACCACTGGAAGTCACACACCTGCCTTTGGGTTTTCAAGCGAGGCTGCTGTGCAACAAGTGACCATGAAAGACATCACAGATCTCTCAGCCACAGCATTCCCCTACTGTTCATACAGTGTAGTTTCCCCATACATTGGTAAAGTTGTCCCTGCTATTCACTGTTACCTTTTCTTTTTTAACACCCATGTTAAGAACAGACTTTAAAAAACTGTGAGTGCAGGTCATCCCAAGCGCTTTTAGTTCACCCAGGTGTTCGTGAAATCTTGTTGTTAATTCACAGTTGTGCCCTGTATATCAGCAGTCAATAAATGAAGCTTGAGGACAAAACTTGCATCCAAGTACATGTACAATAACCACAAATCAAAATAATTCATCATTTCTGCCCCTACTCTCAAATCTTTGCACTGATGCTTTTTAAATCACCATTTCCAAAGCAGGACTGACACTTCAATTGCATATATGCAAGACTTTTAAGCAGTACAGGCAGGGTACTCCACCTCTTAGTGAAAGAAAGAAAGAAACAAAAATCAAAGGAGACCTTCTACTGCCATAATATCATTTCTTTGGCATCTCTTAGGAGACTTAATGTGACTCAGTCTTGTCCTATTGTACTGTTTGCTAAAACACTTCCCGCACCATGACAGCTCACCTTAAGAAACCTCTTCACTCCCTTCCCCCAATTTTGTTTCTAAGGATAAAACTTCACAGAATTTTATTTCAGTTCAATTTTACATGTTTTCTCAGTGCAGAAGAGATCCAAGTCAATCAGGAGAGCAACAATCATTGTTTTTCCATTAACTTTACAACGAAAAATTGCTACAGACCTTAACAGTTGCTATTGTTTGTAAATTAGTATGCAGAATGGACACACATGTAAACCTCCCTGGGCTCTGCCTCCCAATATCTGAGTTCCAGGTGCATGGACAGCATTACGGATGACAGCATATTCTAGTTATGAGGGGCTATGTACAGGACACATAGTGCAAAGGAGGAAGAAGCCAAGAAAATTAAACAAGTCTTTCTCTGCTATTATCTTTCATATTATACCAGCAAAGCTTAATAACCCATAAGAGCAAAGACAGCCACCTGATGCCAAGTAAACACATATTGGTTACCAGAGTAAAATCTGTCCCACACCTCATTTCTATCACAAAATTCATCAATGGGAGTTAATGTGCTGGTTGTGGTTACACTAAAACCATTACTGTTGTGGCAGACTGAGCAACAGTTAAAAAACCTGAGCTCCACTCATGAAACAAACAGAAATCAAAGAAGACACTCAGCAGTCCTGGAGTTGCTTTGCCATCTTAAGAGGCAGACCTCAAAGGAATACAGAGGCTGTATTTTTCTTTAGACTTGTCCCTTCCAGCACACTGTCAGAAGGGTATAATGTGTCACAAAATGCCACTACCTGTAGATCACCTATGTTGTGGCTACAGCTCCTAGTATAATTCAGCTGGCACTTTTGATGTGTCCTAAAAATAATTAAAAAATCTAATCTGCCTTTAAATTTTTCAGATTGCATGTGCAGGAAGGAAAAGATATTTTCCAGACTAAACTGAACCATCAAAAAGCAATCTTATTGGGAGTTTTCTGAAAGAGCTGAATTATGGTAGAAGTGACAGTGAAAGAAATTACTTCTAGTCCTCCCACTCTCATCTAATACAGCTCTCCTTCATCAATCCTAGACTAGTTTAATGCTGACCTACTTCAGATGACAGGCTTAGACTGCAACTTATCTTATGAATTTTTGTTTATTCCCATTCTTTCCAAGTGCTTCAAGCTAAATATCAGAAAGTGAGAAAAATAACAAATTCTTTTGACAATGCAAACAATATAATGTATAATTACGACAGACGTAAAGATCAGGAAAAACTCACCTTAGGAGACAAAATGTGAACCTGCACAATCACCATGCAGATTTCTAATACCTTTTAAGTTATTCTCCCTTGTTAGCAATAAGTTTAAAGATTTCTTCAAGTCAAAAATCACAAGAGGGCATTACAGGCAGGAAGGAGGAATGAAATAATGAGTACAATGGGCAAAACAGGGAAATAGAGGATCACAGCCAGGTGCGATCATGGTATTCTATAATTCCAGACTAAATTTGAATAATTCAAAATGCACAGGTTGTTTCTCCAAACATCTTGTTCTCAGGGATTTTTCAATTGTTTTCCTGAAGAAAATCTGCATTCGTTCTTCTGCGTAGTCCAGAACCATGAAAGTGTTTCAGACAAAAGTGAAAAAAATTATTTTTTTTTGGACAAAAAGAAATGTTTCTGGGAGAAGCTTTAACCAAAGTTTGCATTTCTGAGATCAAACCTAGTGGCAACCATCTTGCTGAAAAGTGATCCAGGCAGTAAATGTGCAAGATAAGCTCTCTCTCTGATTTAATATCAATTTACCAACTTCACTGGGAATGCACAATATTTATTAATAAAATTAATTTGCTTAACAGGTGAATTTTTTTTTTTTTTTTAAATTTTTTAATATTACTAAAGCAAATAGCTTGGCAGCATAAAGCCCACAATGTTGAGAACACTTGGAATTGATTATTGAGAACAATAATGCCTTTTAAAGATTAATTATTGAAATATACTTTATAAACAGCTATACACACAGAGAAAAGCCATAAACTACTGTTATTCTATGTCCTGAAATTGATAACTCTACTAAATTATGTTTCTGTGGGGAGCTGAAAGCTGGACTGGGAGTCTGCAGCAGCTACTCCATCTGTGATGAGAGAGGCTTGGATGAGAAGGCTCTGCCCTTCTCCTACAGGAAGGACACTACAAGAAACATGACTTGCAGTTTCTGTTTATGATAACCGCAGCTGCCAGTGAAATCCCAAAGACTAGGTTCTTATCATAGACAAAACTCTATTTGTCACCAATACCCTAACAACCTCACTTTAAGAATGTATCTCAGTTGTGAAAAACTGTCAAATTTCAATCATTTAATCTGCAATAGTCTCTGCTAGAGGTCTGCATTGAGCTGAATTTTGGTGTAAGGATTTTTAGCCAGATTTTTTTCAGATAATTTTGATAACCATAAAAAACATGTTAATTGTGACTGTTTTGTTGAGGAACTCTTAACACTATAAAACTTAAAACCAAGGATCTTGGTTGTGCTTGGAAAAGGAAGGTGAAGAAATGATAGGGTGGGTTATCTGGGGACAGATTTTGGTTTTGCTTTTTCTTTCAAAAATTCTGTCCACATTCAGCAAATTATTGGTCTTTGGAAAAAAACACAAAGGACTGGGAGCTGGCTGCAGTTCAGTCTTCAGCTTGTTAGAACAGTCACGTCAATTATGCTGTGCATCTGCAATTTCCATTTGCACAAATATAAAGTGCAGAGTTCTGTTG